ACACACCAGGCACAATGTAAGCGACGTTATTTACTTTGGGTACTGTTTACATGAGTCACATGTAATGTATAACCTGAAGATAAGTGAACAAGCATGGCTTGTCTGTCAACTAAGTTTAATAATTGGAAGAGTTAAATTAGGTAAAAAATGGCGACGACATATCCTGTTGTCGAATTATATATTTTGCAGAGCTCCGTTCAACTATGATCCTATTTTATATAAATATTGCTTCGTGTTAATTTACCCATAAAAATAACATTGTAAATGTTTGTATGAACATGATAAAAATATATTGGTATGAAAGACAATCTTATCAATTATAAGGAGATCAATTCATAATTTATGTTCAACAGTGATGATTCATGAATTATTTTGTTTGTTCGACAGGATATTTATCAACAGACGGATTTAGCATTGATATTTGAATCTTTAGTTTGTGATACAGTAGAACGGTTAGAGTGGTAAAATCTACTCCTTAAGAATAATTAAGTTCCTGGTAAAAATAATTTGCCAAAACTGGCACCAATGGCACCTCACTGTTAGCAACGTCATCCTTTATAGTTTCTGTTTGTTCGCGGATGAATGTTTACTGTATTGAGGTCGCACATTTGCTAAGTCTACCAATGACAGAAGTGGCGGGCGCAGTAACTCTGGCCAGAAGAATTAAAATTATGCTGTAAAACATATCTTTAAGAACTGAAAAATTGAAACATACATTTCTCTTTTCTGTAAAATTAAATTAAATTTGGTCAATGTGAAAAGCTTATCCTCTGGTCCAAAGACACATTATGGTATTATTGCCAGTCAAACCATTCACATTTCTGTGTGTTGTGTTAACAGTTAGATCCCCGTGAAGATCTGAGTTAGAATTGGTCTTCAGCAACCCATATTTGTCGTAAGAGGCGACTAAAATGATCGGAAGATCATGCTCGCTGAAATGTTTCATGCATGTCGTCATACCGCCAATGCGTAGAGTAATGCGCACTATTTCAATCACTGGTCAAGTCTGGCAAAGAACGCCTTGATATATCTTGAATATTGCTGAATGGGGCGTTAACAACAAACGAACATACAAACATCAAATTTTAGAAGTAACATAGTCCTTGCTGAGCACACTTATATCATTTGAAAACTTGCTGATTGCCCGTGATAAAGTAAGATCACGTGGCCATACAATGAGTGCGGCGTTAAACAGGACATCCATTTAACATTTGGGAGGGGGGCTATTTCTGACATAGAATTTCGTTCTTCAGTTATAACCACCGCTTTCCTCTACAAGGAGGAGATAACTAATTTGTTCCCAGATCAACGTGTCTTGCAGAAACAACCTTAATTATTTTTTACCAGCATTATCTAACAATTTCATACTTTTTATATGAGAATTATCCCTGGTTACTCCGACCCCAATGGCATTGCAATGGTAAAAAATCATACCTTTTTATGATCGAGGAGAGTCGGATTAGAATTAGTCTTCAGCAACCTGTGATTGTCGAAAGGGGCGACTCACGGGATCGGGTGGTCAAGCTTGCTAACTTGGTTGATGCATGGCATCTTATCCAAACTGCGATCCAAAAAGGTCGATGCTCATTTTAGTGACGGGATTGTCTTCTTATGAACTACTAATTGGATATTAACGAAATTTGACTGGAAGCATCCCCAGGTGGTCGGGATTAACAATTGTACAAATGGTAGCGCTGACCCCCAGGTGATTGAGGGGCATAGCCAAATAGGGGTAATTTGGCTATATTGCTTTAAACGACTTCTTCTCTGGAACTTAAAGATAGATATTAATCATTCTTGGTTTGGTTGGAAGAATTCTCCAATGGTGGGGATTCAAATTGGAGAAATGGAGGGGCTGAAAAAAACCACCCTCCAGGGACTAAGGAGCGGGGCTAAAAAGGATGATTTTCCTGGATCATTACATTGAAACAGTTCAAAATTACGAAATATTTGCAGTATTATATACATGTACAATGCAAATGCATATATTGTCATGATTGCGTAAAAATCCGGGTGAGCGATACAGGCCCTATGGACCCCATGTTTACTGGCAGCTGTCATATCGCTGGAATCTTGCTGATAGTGGTGTTAAACAACAAACTAAACATCATACCTTTTAAGGCTTTACCTCACTGCTTTGGGATCTGTCAGTTTTTTTTGCACAAAATAATGAACAACGTTGACGATCACCCAATGATTAGTTCTTCTGACTACATTTGAGAAAAAAAACCCGGTTCCTCGGCCAGTCATCCAAGATAAATTTGTTATGGGTTGTCTTTTAACAAGATAAGGTCAAAGGTCTTTATGTTGTTGTGAATTAGCCTCTTTTATTAACTGCCTAGTGAGTGAGTAAGTATTGCATTTGCTCATCTTAATCATTCCTCCAAGATCACGGCGGGGAACTCCAAATGGGCTTCACATATTATACCCATGTGATGGTCGAGTTCGGGTCCTCGACGTGAAGACAAAACGCTTTTACCATTTGGTTACTCCCAGTGAGCCCAGTGGAAACACCCTGATGACAGCATTGTCATTGTTACAACAGAGATTGTAATTCTCATGTTCTAATTATAACAGAATACATTGGTGATCTTTGGAATAAGGTTCACATCAATTTAACTATGTAAGTGCAACAATCTTGGACAAGACGTTAAACAAAATTTCACCTCACCTCATCTCAATTTGGATCCCTTCGCTAACATTTAGCTCTACTGGGGCATATATATATATATATATATATATATATATATATATATATCATCAACGCCAGAGAATAACGAGTTTCGATTGCCTTCCCTTGAAATCTCTCTGTCAGAATCTTTAAGTAAAATTTGTAACTTGTAGCAACAAGAAAGACAGTGTTTACATCAATTTCAACTTTTTTTATTATATCTAGTCGATGTTTAAGTGTAGATACAAGAGCGTGTATCACGCAATCAACAAATAGAAAGTAGAGGATAAAACAGCTGGGGTTACACGAGGATAAACAAAACAAGAAACTGAAAAACATGATATTATTGAGATGAGTGCTTAATCAAGTCCTTACTACTTAACCATGTGTTCCCGTGTTTTTTTCAGGTGAACAATGGACAAGCCTGTGCATGTGTTTGTGAAGGATGTCACCGTTTCGCGAAAAACCTGGTATCATCTCTATTTGACAGTGATCATAAACACACACACCCACACACACACATATCATTTTCCACCAATTTATCAAGAGGTTGGAATTTGCTAAAAGTATTACAAAGATACAACAAATATATATATAGTGGATAGATAAATCACATTTTAAATTATTCGCAAAGACTTAAAGTTCGGACTTGTTTGGTATGTGTACGTTCGCGAATTTGTCTCTGATTTCCAAAAGTTTGGTCATAATGTTTACATTTAAGGCATGTACTTCCGCATTAAGCATACTACATCAAACATACTACACCAGGTATACTGCATTAAACATACAACATCAAACTTACAACATTTAACAGTACATTGCCACAGAGAAGCGTGTGCATGTGTGGGTGCTGTGTCTACATGGATAAACTGCTGTGACACCAACACTTACATTGCATTGTTGTCAAAACCTTTATTACTGGTATAAGGTAGTTTTTTTGTATTGCTTCTTCCTTGGCCTTAGCTGATGCTGTATGTTCGAAAGGCAATTTGGTAATATAATTAGAATAACAACACTGATTTCTTTTCATCAACCTGGGAGAAGAAATACCACAGAGTTGTGCTTTGACTGGATATATAAGACCGTGTTGTATGTGTGTATCATCGATTACTTAAGGTGGCAGAAATATTTTAATTGTATCATTTTTTTTCTTTCAGAATGATCGAATATACAGTTATAGTGGACTAAAGGTTCAATATTGTATTTGTTACGAGAATAATGATGATCGTGCTTATCTTGTACTGGTTCGTCTTTACATCTTTCATGTCACAGATTTGCAGTCAGGGCTTCAGCTTTCTTACAGGCTGTCGCTAATGTATTAAACCATCTGCTTTATTTATTATCTCACTTGGTACGTCAATGAAAAAGCATAAGAAAAACTATTCGCAACAAAATGATACTTCTTTAAAACAATGTACATGTATGTACCAAGAAAGATGTGAATCCAAGTTTAGGCACAAAAAGAACGATGTAAAGAACACATTAAAGTCTAACAAGCCTGAAAAACTCACATCCCCCGCCAATATGACATGTCGGGTGTGTGCAATGCTATAGCCCCATGTGAACAATGTTCACTGGACCTTTTTGTAAAGAAATATAGTACGTTTTTCAAAGATCTGCTCCGGAAACGAGGACTACCACCATTTTCAGTCTAAATCAAAGGCGTTGCCATGGAACCTCGAAAAATAACTTTTTTTTAAATCTCAAACTATCAAAAGGCACCAGTTCACCACTAGTTCTATCTATGTGCCAAGTTTGGTGAAGAAATATGGTACGGTTTTCCAGATCTGCTCCGGAAACGAGGACTACCACCATTTTCAGTCTAAATCAAAGTCATTGCAATGGAAACTCGAAAAATAACTTTTAAAAAAAATCCAAAAATATCAAAAGGCACCAGTTCACCACTAGACCTATCAAATTCGCAAAATGTGGTGAAGAAAAATGGTACGGTTTTCAAGATCTGCTCCAGAAACGAGGATTACCACAATTTTCAGTCTAAATCAAAGGCGTTGCCATGGAAACTCGAAAAATAACTTTTTTTAAAATCCCAAACTATCAAAAGGCACCAGTTCACCACTAGATCTATCTATGTGCCAAGTTTGGTGAAGAAATATGGTACGGTTTTCCAGATCTGCTCCGGAAACGAGGACTACCACCATTTTCAGTCTAAATCAAAGTCGTTGCAATGGAAACTCGAAAAATAACTTTTTTTAAAATCCCAAACTATCAAAAGGCACCAGTTCACCACTAGATCTATCTATGTGCCAAGTTTGGTGAAGAAATATGGTACGGTTTTCAAGATCTTCTCCGGAAACGAAATGTGACGGAAGGACGGACGGACGGCACCCATTCCTATATCCCCCTTCCACTTCGTGGCGGGGAATAATTAGTCGTGCTGTCAAACGCTTCATGAAACTGATCCGTTTCCTTCAGTGGAATGTGGTCAGTGGCAGAGATTTAGATTAGATCAGCATGCAGATGTCAACCAACTCTTACATATCTATCACCATTAAGGCACCAGCTAGGAATAAATACATAAAAAACACTATTATAATAATATGTGAAGATTGAATGTTACACATTAAATAGCACTAAGCCTTTGAAGGCCTTCGGATATCACCGTCACACGGCTTCTGTATTGTGAGGGCATTCCCATTTCACTGGTTGGAGACTCCTGGCATCTGGACTTGTTGTCCTGAATTTTCCGGGAACTCCTCAAACAAAAGATTTCAGTGGAAAGGTTACACAGTTAAAGTGGACATATTCTCCATTCAATGTAACATAGCCAAAACAGTAATCATGGATATAGCACATCGGTTCTAAATATGTAACCTGATGAATGATACAGACGTTCACCCAAATTTACCTCCATTTTTCGCTCATCGGACCAACGCTTGAAACGTCTGGCAATTTCTACCTCGAACTCCTTCTGTTTGGAATAGATAGAAATTCCACGCTCTTGAAATCTTTTTGGAAGCATCCGTGATATCTAGAAAATAAGTATAATTATTTCATCAACAATGATATATGCCTATTTGATAGTTTACTAAAAACAAGTTGTTTGAACAATTGAATGATTATAATTAGAAACACATGTACAGCCAGTCCCAAATTATAAGGTCGAACATTTATTTTAAGTTATAAGTGTTACATGAACAATATATTCATTCTTCTTGTAAACAATTTAGTCTCCGTTGCTCTATTTTTAGTAAAAAATACTTCTAGTATTCCATTTCGGTTTAAGATATTCTACATATAATGGCATTTTAAAAATATACATAAACTAGCGACAAAAAATAAGGGTACTATTCATTTGAATGTAGCTATCGTTCAGGTGTACATTTACAATACCGTGACGATGCACCTGAATGCAACATTTAATCACAATGATTTTTACATCATGGAGGAACAGCACGTAGAAGCCAAAGTGTGTACTCATTTCTCGGAAATCACAAATCTTAATGCAATGCAAATGACATATACACATGCTCAAAATGCCTCTGACACAATATGTCACTGAACAGACAATTTGAAGAGACAGGTCGATTTTGGGTACGACAGAGAGTGTCGGGGTTGGGGGAGGGTAGGAGAGGACGTGAATATCCCAATCTCCTGAATCTTTGGCAAATCAAAAATTGTAATTACTCGACTCTGGGAAACATACCGTCAAACGAGGGGGGTTGCAATAGGCGTGGCAGACCTAAACTTGACACCTTGACAAGATCGTCTTACTGCATTAATTGCACTACGCATTAGATTCAAATTTGCTCCTGTTATCACAAGTTAATTTAACAGGAGAGCGAATTTCAACTTCTGCCGTTAAAGTAGCGGCGAGAGGTATGCCAGGGCAACACGTCGTGACCATGATCGGTATGGGGGCGTGTGTTATGGTGTTGGGTGGTCTTCCCACCTGACAGCCGAACTGATTTGGTGACTGTGAAAAAACATTTGTCTGACCGTTGATATGTTGACGAAAATTTGCGTCCTGTTGTTAAAGACTCCCACGAGAAGTCATACAGACAATGGATTGGCCTGCTAAGTCCCCTGATATGTCCCCAAAAGAGCAGCTGTTGGATGTTCTCGGGCAGAGAGTGGAGCACAGACCCAGCATCGGGTACCACTTCAGGCTGATTTACGGGCAATACCAAGAGCAACCATACGCATGTTAATCAACAGTATGACATCAAGGTGTCGTGCATGTATAAGCCCAACGTGGTGAACATACAAGATTAACTTTGCAGACATTTCTCGTAATTACACCCTTAGTATCATTTCCCTTATTTTTTGTCTGTAGTATAACAAAGGGTCAACATACCTCATCAGCCGGCAAAGTGAAAGCCTTTGCAGGTTCGAATTTTCTATAAAACCATGCTTTTGTTAATGGATCATCTTTTTTCTTTCCATAATCGAAAGACGTCAGCTACAAAATAAACCAATATGAATCTTTCCAAATTCTGCAAGAGTGATCACTTTGCATTACGTTCACCTCTTGTTAGATCAAGTTACCCATTGTCCCCAAATATATGGAGTTATTTTCCAGAGATTAAGAACACAAACAAACGAAGATTCCATCAGATTTCATGAATGCGTCTACTCTACATACATATGGCCACCATATGTAAGTGGAAACAACCACCCAAACACACGTGACAGAGATGAATATCTCACAGCAGCAGCGGCACACTACGTCATAAAAAACGATATAAGACTACGTCCAGGAATTCAGCGGCTCCATATATGACCAAAAACAAAAGGTTCCATGAGGCGACAATGAAGAGAGTAAAGATATTAAATTTGTGTAATTAACTTCTGCACCATAACTGAACACCAATTTTCGCCATCTTATCTCGGCAAATTCAAATAACAATCATTAAGTGGAGACGGCAAAAAGGTTTTCACAGATTCCATTGATTGAATCAACCAATAAATATTTTTCCCTTGCGATTTTGGAAATTCAATGTGGAAAACATGTTTGACTAAAACTCGCATACACTCGGAAAACGAAAGTGAAACAGTAACATAAACATTAACTGGAGATAACCATACCAGACAGCCATCAACTATTTCGAACATGGGATGGTAAGTTGTACTTACAACGATTTCAAACTGTTTGTCATCCCAGGTCGCCATTGTAGGACTACAGATTTTTTCCCTAATACCTGGAATGTCATCCTGAAAGTAAAATGGGCAGTTACCCTTTTACTCAAATTATAAAGGAACAGGCCCCCGGTACAAGTAAATGTGCTTCAACGAAATGTACATACTACAAATGGGGATTGTACAATATAAATGTTCACTGCTTTTTCTTCACACAAAACTAATGCTCACTCATTTGAGCTCTGCAAAAAGTTACAGTTGATATATAGCTTAATTGTAAGCGACTCTGGTCAGGGTCTTATTATCCCCCGCCCCAACGTGTGTCCCGAAATCGCTTCCGGAGCATAACTCAAAACCCATTCAATACTTTCTTACAAAGCTTTGCATGTTTACCAGACACATACTGAGCTGGTGCCTTTTGCTATTTAGGAATTTTAGAAATCTTTATTTTTTTACGTTTTCATGGCAACAAGTTGGACTTAGGTTCTATAGGGTAGAGTTCGTTTCTGGAGCATAACTCTAAACCCATTCAATACTTTCTAACAAAACTTTGCATGTTTACCAGACACATACATATATGGTGCCTCTGCTATTTAGGAATTATATAATTTTATTTTTTTAACGTTTCCAAGGCAACAAGTTGGACTCAGACAACAATAAGGGTAAGGTTCGATTCCTGATGAGTGAGTGAGTACGGTTTTACGCCGCTTTTAGCAATATTTCAGCAATATCACGGCATTGTACCCATGTCGGGAATCGAACTCGGGTCTTCGGCATGACGATCGAACGCTTTAACCACTTGGCTACCTGACCGCCCATGGTTCCGGATGAAATTTTCCACATCTATCAGACACTTGCTGAATTGTTGCCTTTTGCTATTTATGAATTTTAGAAAACATTGCATGTCTATATATAAAGCACAAACTGAACTGGTGCCATTTGATATTCAGGAGTTTTAGAAATGTTATTTTAGAAGTTCCATTGCAGTTATTTTGACATGGGCTAAGAGAAATGTTGGGTCCTGGTTTGGGACCATAACGTGTTAAAATGGGCGGGGGATATAGATGACTTCATCGACTATACGCTTGTTTATAATCATTGATGCCGTGCACCAGGTTGGGTAACAACCAGTACCTAACGTGACCAGGGGATTGGATCACTGAAGTTAGGCTCTGTTGACAGGTGCTCCATCCACTATACAATGGAGGCAGTTTGTGAGATAACTGAGGTACAAAACTATCATCATACTTGTGTAAAAGGGTCAGCAGCAGACAGGGTGTATTGGCCAACACACTTGTACAAATCTCTTGTGCGGAGTCTTCTGATGATTGTTCTTGCTTGTTCAAGGGTGTCTGGAACTGATCCACATGCTGTTATATGTAACGCGTACAATTTTGCGACTGGTGGTCAAAACACCTTCATTTGTGATAATAAGATCCATATATTATGTTCGCTTCCAGGTCATTCTGATCACAGTGTCATCACACTAAAACAAGTAGAACATGTTTTACATAGAGTAATAAATGTGCTTACACATTCGGATAGTTTGGTCACGTTGAACATCTCAATTGTGTCTGGAATATTATCACAACCCAGTGAACCATAACCAGGCCATGGACAGCCTCCACTTGAGCTCAGCATGGCATCTTACTTTTTCTGCCTTGCTTAAATTCAGCAGCTCATTTCAGAACAGTTGAATATGAAGGGCAGTCATCCCAATTTGTACAGTTCATGTCTACAAGTTTATAATTTTGTGTCATGCCCTTTCTATATACGTACTGTTGCTCAGTTTATTTCCCCCTGGGAAATTCTCTAGTTGACTTCACGGAAACAGACGGACTTTACGCAAAGCAATATTTGTTTCAATTTCCCCATCGTACACAACATTATATTTTAATCATTTAAGAGTTTCATTCTGTTATTGCATATTACATATATATCATGCATTATATGCATATGCGAGGAGGGAATTCTTTGACATCCATTTAGAATTGTAACGACACTAAAATGGTATTCACGAGAATCATTCTCCGTCCCCAGGTTTATAGGATCTTCCACGAACTGTAAGATGCTGTCATTGAGATGGGAGTAGGCTGCCATGTCATTGATACATTCTGATATTTTTTGTTGTTTGCTGAAACAAAACACATTACATAAGTCTTGTTTTCTGATTTCGGAAAGTTATGAAGCATTGACATCGTTGTATATTTCCACTCAAATTTTTGCATTTCGATGTTTTACCTTGTATGATGGTGAATAGGATATATTTTAAGCACAGGGTTGGTTGGTTGATTTGTTGATTTACGCCACACACAGCAATATTCCAGCCATAGGACGGCGGTCTGTAAATAATCGAGTCAGGACCAGACAATGATTGATATCGTGAGTATTGATCCATGCAATTGGGATCGATGACATGCATCAATCAAGTCAGCGAGCCTGACCACCCGATCCCGTTAGTCGCCTTTAACGGCAAGCGATTCTACCCCGGATCTTCACGGATCCAAATCACAGGGAGATACATATGGAATCATATTAACAGTGTTGTAAAGCGATTACATCTATACAAATTATTATCCAATACAAGTAATCACATTCGGTTCTTCATAAAATCACATTCAAACAAATGCAATCGGAAGCTTCAGTTACCCATTACTTCCTGTTATCCGCACAGTTTCGTCAGCGAGCCTGAGCGCATCAACAATCCTGAAAATACACATGTTCAAAGTATGGTTGCAATTTATAATGTCAAGGTTGCCGCTTAATATGAAACGAGCTACATGTTCAAACGATAGGTATTTGAGTGCATTCGATACATAATCCTACGTTCCTTACATGTTCTTTTTATTTTGCTTGATTTGTCAGTATGTTTAGATGTACCATGACGTCTGTACACAAGCACCTGAGGCCTAAAGGAACTGAAAAACAATGATTGAAACGTGAAGATGTATGACTGTACATACATGAGTTCCACTCCACGGGTAACTTGGTGCTGGTATGCTCTTCGGTGTAACGTCTCCCGAGTGTGAAACATGTCGTACAGGTTGTAGGCCTCCTGCAGTCAACACAAACGGAACATGAATCTGGTCACACGGTTAGCTCACCTGCACAGCTTAGGCGTCCGGCGTCTGTTAATTTGCTTCTGTGAAACTCGTACCAAAAGGAAAACGTTTATGGTATCTTCAAGTGGCATTTAAGAAAGTTGCTGTATCAATACAATGAGTATCAAGCACTATATCTATAAACTATGGTGATGTTTACTGAAATTGCGATGACTAAAGCGACAAAACCCTTTCCATCTTCATTGGAGATCCCTGCCAAAAGCAGAGTTGGTTGTATGATTCCGACTTTACCATGAATACATGTTTCTGATTAAAGAATAAAGAAGCTGAACTCCATAAGTCAACGTTTGACGGACGTGGTGGTCACACTTCCTTCTCCGTGTTCTGTCAACATATAGCCCCCTCCAATCATACCATTATTTGTTCTGAACAATAATAGCAAACTAAGTTTTCACTGTTGTGATGACGTTCTTTTAAAAGTGAACAGTATCAAATACGAATTAATGGATAGTAAACATCTCCCGTTCCAAAGAGTCATGGAAGATGTCTGGACCTATTCATTATTTGCAGAGTCTCTAAATCTACAAATCCGTTTTGATGAAACCATTCATGGTGAAAGATGCACCAAGGGGAGATTTATTAATGAGTATGCTTAATAGTCACAAAGCCGAGTGATAAAACATTTCAGGAAGATGTAGCTGTTGTAGTCGGCGATAATAGGACACTTTACACTCTTGTAAATTTTACTATTTCGACTGACATTCTCCATTTAATATATTGCAGCAGGTATCAGAGGTCAATACTGGATCATAATAATGGCCATATAAATATGGCAATGAAGCATTATTCTCTGTGTTTCTACAGCTGTAGAACATTGTGTGGTTATTTTTAAGATAGGTGTTAACAGTAACAATCGTTCAGAATCAGCGCTACATTCGACGTGCAACGGTATCGGGATGGGTGTTAAAAGTTATAAATACAGAAAAAACCGAGGGCTTAATGTTTCGTTCCGATTACAAAATATTTGTACAATACCTTACAACCTGTTGTTGTTGGTGGTGGCTTTGACCGGAAAATTCAGTTACGTCACGTGACTTGATCTACCAGTTTTTGGTTATGTCCCTCAACACTTAGGCTATAGCCAATGCAGATTGATGGATTACCTTGTCTCTTGCACAGATCCGTGGCACTTTGCCGCCTTCTTCTTCGACGAAGATTATACGCGCCAGCTTCATGTACCTGTCGTGGTCGAAGTTGTTTTTTATGCCCAGCATGTGACAGTCGCGAGCAAAGTAGTCCCACTTGTCTACGTCAATTCCCGTTTCGGCGTTGTTGACAATCTAGTGATAAGATTTATTTGTTATATACTTATGTTAAAATCTTAAATTTCTAAAAAAAAGAGGGACTTATCACAATGGTCAAGTGTCGGAAAGTCTGCTTTTTTCTGGTAACTTTATATTTAAGCATTTATATTATTATCAACAAACCAGTTAAGCTAATATTACCGTAAATATTGATCTTGGTATTAAAATACTCACTTCATAAAGGAAAGGTTTTTCCCCCCTCATTTCGTGCACACCTCCTTTTGGCTCTCCCGCAGAATTCTAAAACATGACGACAAGGGATAAAGTGGTGGGGTGGGGTGACGTGAGATTAATGTCGGGGTCAAGAGTATTGCACTGATATAGTGACATACTATGTGTGTTTGTAGAGGTTGGTTACACTAGACTGATGCCACTATTATAGTGATAGCCCACTGAGATACCATTGCACAGTTAAACATGGATCTCTCACTCAGGCACACTATACTGACTGAGCTGACCAGTGTTTTTTTGTCCATATAATGCCAAGTGCCGTATTTTGATATGGCAAAGCCGGGTCCGCCCTTCTCATTTCCTGGCACACGCTCGATCAGGGTTAGGTTAGGGTACATACAAATGGTAAGAATGGTAAAGAACCCTTGATCATGCTACCTCCCTATGGAAGGAACAATACTTAACCTTCCTGCCTAAGATGAGGTCCTTTATGAGCTCGAGATGACCACGAGTCCCATTTTCATCAAATTTCTTAAAGGCTTCCTTCACATCCTCATTGGTGTTGATGAGGTGATCCAGCATATCGACTGAGGCATGCTCATGCTGAAATCATTGAAGTAAGCAAAACAAATTCTTTAATTTTGCTCATATACTCATTGTCTGTTCTGTGTGTGTTCATACACTCTCTAACAATAATTGCCGTACTTAATTATATGTCTTGTCTGTTCATATGTTCATCTGTTACATATTGTTGATTGTTTTAATGCCTTTATTAACATGCTTTCATGGCTGAAATGTGTTTTCACTCTTCTCACCACATCAGTGATTGTGTTTTGTGTAATGTCACTTTGTTCATTTAATTAATATCCCAACTTGTCTCAATGCTGGAGGACAGACCAACGAAACACAGGGTTTCTGCATATCCTCCGAAAAGTGGCTGCCACAATACATATCACAGTCAGTGTGAGTCTAGTCATATAATTAAAACATAAACAATGTGTTGTATGAAAAGGTGTACCATTTCAAATCATATTAAGATGTGTAATTTGGTGAAGAGCATCATCACATAGCAAACTGTTATTTAAGCTTCATGTTGTACTTAAGCGTGCTGATCTTTGGATTTTCATCATTTACAAATAAATTTATAGTAAGTATTTTTTAACAACGCCTCCTGTTAACGTTAACTGTTTAATGCAGGAATAGTCACATCCATCCCGTGACAGAAATGACCCCAGAGAACATTATTTACCTTCCACTCGCTGCCTGGCACCACACGAGGTATAAACAAGTTGTCAAAGACGTGTGAGAATGGGCCGTGTCCTTAAAAAACAAAAACGTACATCTAGTGCACATATTCGTGTCGTGTCAGTATCTTTCTGTTGATAGAAATGTTATTAACTTTCTTTCCTCTTTGAAACAACCTATTACGAGATCTACGCTTATTGTGATTTTGGAAAAAGGTTAACTAATTACCGAGATCGTGGCACAGTCCTGCTATTTCAATGCACGTGATTTCATCGTCCTTCAAATCTGGATATTCCTGTTGCAGAATCCGAGCAAATGTTCCAGCCAGATAGTAAGTTCTGTTGTAACAAACACAGAAAAGAAAGAAATACAACGCCGACTTGTTATGCTGTGTACGCAAGTAATTCATGTCCTGAGAATATGCTCTAGAAATGTTTTAATGGGCCTTACTTGTGACATCGCCATTGTGATATTACTTACCCGATGCTGTGCTCAAACCTGTTGTGTGCTGCGCCCGGATATACAAAGTAACCTCCCCCAAGTTGCTTCAAATACCTCAACCTCTGAAACTGCGGGGTGTCTATTATCTTCACACACAAACCCGTCACCGTTATAGTCCCATGAACAGGGTCCTTGAAGATCTAATAATAAAATAAAGTTGATCATGTGTGTTTCTTTGGCTTCAACCATAGATTGTATATGTTCTTAAAATGTCCGTTGATCGTTACCAATTTAGATCATTTATCATCCAATGGTTATAAAAAATCTCCCGAATGCAGTCTCCAAATGTTTTCGTATGTCTAGGACGCCTACTCCGTAATGAAAACTCACTGACATATAAAAATGTAAGGTACTCTGCCTGAGGTATCAATGCCTACCTTTGAACCGGACTCTTTTCTGCAGAAAGAAAACATTCACATATGTATAATACATGTGCATGCATAAACTGTTATTTGCTCATTTAATCTCAAAAGCATGTCGGCACGACTTCAAATGAATTTGTTACGTGTCTTCGTATTTACTTTGACAGTATACATCAAATAATGAACAGATTTCATAGAAAGTGAAAATATAATGCTGGTACAAAACTGCCATGCATTATTGTTAAGAGGACAGGTTAGGTTAAATGTAACATTGAACTAATTTACATAACTAAAAACATGAGTATATACACAAGCAAATAATACTCACACTGGGCCACGTGGTATACCTGTAAGTAATGATGACACAATTAATCGAATTTTCTAGTCAGTGAGTGAGTGAGTCTAGTTTTACGCCCCTTTTCGCAATATTCCAGCAATATCAGGGCGGGGGATACCAGAAAGTAAGTAGATGTAGCCAATGATCTTTTTATTGACACAACAGTTTATCTTATAGCACCATATGAAACTTGATCCCTCTTGGAGTATTTTGAAATGGCAAAAAATATTTTCCAAGACAATGACAGTTCCGTCCTTTAAATAAAGCAACAAAATCCTTTCCAAATTCAAGTCGATGGTACGATTCCGACTATACCATGAGCGTGTGTTTATGAAGCACTCTCAAATAGTAATGATACAAGGGGTTAAGTCAACTTAAATAACAGACGCACACATGCAGATCCATCTTACTGCGGACCTGTACACAGATAGCGTTAAAGTCTATCTGCATCACGGCAATGTGTTAACAATTGATTTCGCACAAAACGATCAATAGCATGACCAACGATCCATGCTGTAGGACCTGGGTGACTGACAGCAAATGTCACTCATTGGAGCCACTTTTAGTCGGCCCTTGCAACCAACGTGTGGTACAAAGGCCTTGAATGTTTCAACATGATAATGCACATACTTTCAGCTTTTCTGTCCGTTTGTTATTACTGTGCACATTGTTGCTTAGAACTTAGTTCCTTTTCAATTTATGACTCACCAGATTGATCTTCTTGAGGCGTAGACATGTTTTCATCTATCTGAAATTACATTGTGAACAGTGAATATTGTACAGAGTGCTTTGTATATGGTGCATTTCATTGGGAAGATTTTAGGAAGTCCCTTGTGTTACGTAAAGTGTGTAGTAAGCAATGGCCTGTGTACATTGTAGGTAATAAAGTGTACATTGTATGGTGAACAATGTAAAACGTACTGATTCAAGGGGAATACCAGATTGAAAAGCAGAGGTTAACCTAGTCCTGCACCATGGCCGTGGAGAATATATTTATTTTATTAAAAAATTAATCTGGAAATGCATACAAAAGCAAGTCTAGCCAGCTCAAGCTAGCTCTATTCCACAGTATCTGAAATCAGCATAGGGAATTTTGTTTTTTTTAGAGTCAAGAAGGATATTGTGTAATATAATATTTCAGAGACTAAATGTTAGTCTAAGGATAACCAAGAAACTGGTTGAAACCAAATTATGGAATCAGTAAACGACCACACACGGCATTAGTTATAATAACCACCAGCAGCAACAAGTAACCGGCCCTAGAATTACTGTTAATGAACTCACGAGTGTTCAGGATATTGGCAAGATTTATAATTCTAAAAACTTTAATTCTAAATATGTTTAAGGGTGTTTTAAGTCGTAACATGTTTAGATTATGGGGATGGTGCGTATAGGTGCTGTTTAGGTTATGAGGCGATAGCTCCTTCATGTATTAAGACGCTACGGGTGTTCAGATAGAACACACCAAATATGCTTACCTTATAGAATTGAAACACATTCCTTAACATGTCTAGTATAACGTCCTAACACATTACAGTGTTCTTTAAGTAGCGCATTATACTAATTTGATAAGTCATATTCGCTAATCTTCAGCATCTTCGTGCAATCTACCAGTCCGGATAATAAATTCGTTTTTTACTATCCTTCTGGATTGACGTGATATCGCCAGTAATTGCATAGAGATTGCATAGGTCAATATTTTTTTATCATGGCAGTATTGTTTTCTCAAAAAGCTTCAAGCTTTTAAGTGTCAGTGTCAGTGTGTTCCACAATCTGATTGGTCAGCCTCATTGATTATCTTTTGATTCCCACAAATCCACATATGCCTCTCAACTGCGTATGAATAAATGTACGGTACTATTTCTCAAGACATCTGTCGACCACATCGTGCACGTGCTGCCTGTGAAGTGGGCGAGAGAACGAAAAACAGGGTCCGGTAATGGCGATGTGTCACTTCTGGACGTAATAAACCGCCCTTACATAGAAACTAATGTGGATTTTTAGTGTCTTAAATGAATAAAGCAGTGCGGATTTTTCTGCTCACTTCCTTTATGTAGTATCAAGAGCCACAATGTTGCGATTGTATATATGCCGGATTGGCTTTCGAATAATTCCCACCAAATATTTTAGAAAAATATCAAACATTACAAAATGTTCAGGCCAAATTATAAGGATACATTTGCAATATATACTGCATTAATTCAGTACTAAATATCGTTGTTAGCGTCCATGTTACAAGTGGCAATAATTAGACATACTCCTTGATATACTTTTTATTACTATGAAGAATTGCCTCGGTATTAAAAACGTACATTGTAATTATTAACATTACTTTCTTTTAAATGTAAGTGTGTATTTTATCCATGTTTCTCAGTGGTATTTGTATTAAATTACAAAATAATGTATTTTGTTAAAAAATGTTGACTTGGGTTTATTGAATACCGCACACAGTTTCTTCTCATCGGTACAGAGTACACATCTCTATGGGTGGTGTCAAAGATTCGTTAAGTTGCATATATAGTTTGCTTCGTTACCGTAAATATTCCGATATATGGAAATATTCATTGACAATTAATACACATTTTCTATTTTGATGACCAGTCGGGGACCAAACTGGAATAGAGCGACCTTAAATGTACACAGTCAAAAATCGTAATAAACCGTAGCCAATGTCTAGTTCTTACAGAATTCACAATGATGCATTCCAACTGCTGTCGTGTTATATACTTTGTTACCTAGTCCAGTATTATTTTAACCCCTTAAAAACAACTATTCACCTTTTCCTTAATGATAAATACCATCTGAAAGTTTAAATACTCCTACTACGCGCGTTTTTTAAAAATTGTTCTTTAAAATATTTTCAAAATTATTATTACTTGAAAATTATTTTGTATGTACTATTTTCTTTTTGTTTTGTTCTTCAGATATTGGATACTCTTTTGGTATGTAAACAATCATTGTTGTTGGTAATAAGCATATAATCATTTTTTATACATTGATACCATACATCATATGCTAGCTCTTTGGATACCCAAATTTGAATAAAGTTTCCAAATGGTTTCTCAAGCCGCGACTATATAATATGGCAGGTTATTACAGTGATATATATAGAAAAAGAAATTCACGTTGTTTTCGACTTGGTCACAACATGAGAGATATAAAGGGCTCTCTTACATTTCCTTCTTTCAATTCAGCATGTATTTTGAATTCTGTTTCTGCAAACAGAGCTTTGAAATTTATGTATTTAATTGCGGGATTTTAAGTAAAAAATAAAAATACAATCGAATACTAATAACAACCGACCGAAATTTCAATGTACATGTTATGTGTTACTATATACTTGAAATAATTATATATGATTGTTATATTTCATTGAGATAAAAGAAAAACGTGCCAAAATACATTGTATACAGTCGTGTACAAGGTCGTGCCATGTTGTTTATTACAGCATCTATTTTATCATATATACGTTTTAGTATCAGAGACATATGTGTCGAAATAAAAAAAATAAATTTAAAAATAATCAATTCAGATTAAGACTTATCAGTCTCGTTAAACATTAGAGACACTATCATTTGTTGTTATTTTATATCACTCCAAAATGGATTTCAGCGAGGTAAATCATTACATGAAAAAGATATCTGTATTTTTTTGAGTACGAATATATCGATTGGGTAAATATTTGTGTTGGTGTGCTACATGGGACGTCCAAGGGATGCAGATGGAAAGACTCGCGTGGACAGAACTCAAGTCGAGCATCCTAAAGGGACGGATGTTGTTTGTCAAGTATGGTGATGGTTTCGTGTATAAATGATTCCATACTTTGACTTCATTTCGCTCATTCACATCTGCAGGAGCCCACTCGCCTAAACTTCTGTGTACGGTGTGATTGTAATTGTACACTAGATCGGACAGCACGTCCACATAGCGCTCGGTGTTCTTGTGTGTCAGATACCTCGCTATGTGTGACCTCAACGTTCGAATGACTCTATCGGCGTAATTCGCTTTAATGTCTTCGTTCTGAGTGACAAACAGTTTGATAGACTGGCGCTCTATAAAATCCTGGAATGCCCCTTTAAATTTCGTACTCTGATGGTTTGTGGCTTGCGACCGTGCGACAGGATGCCTTTGCATGCCTCGACAGTGGACTCGGGTTTCTTGTTTTTTAAAGGGGCTACCCATAGATAGCGCCACAATACATAGACATGGTTCTATCTATTTTCAAAATAGCACGTTCTGAAGTAAAACTGTGTACATCATGTTACACGGTTAAAACTCAAACCGTACGGTTTATTTGTCATCACGTTAAAAGGAAACGCTAGCATTGAAACATCAACAATGCAAGTCGTGACAGAGCTGAATAAGTGAACGCCCTCTATACAAATGGTTCACAATAGTACGCAGCGCGGGTGATTCAAAATCCGGCTGCCTTCAGCGTTGTAGTCAATGCAGGGTGACGTGACTACCTCGTTCTTGCGCGCTAAATTTAATTTTTTTTCCATACAGGTTGTCTAACGTTCATGGTGTACAACGTGTAGACCGTACAAGATGAATTTGATCCAGCTAGGAGTACATGTTTTTCCTACATTATCCGGCGTATATAAAGTTGACACAACCCGTCTCTATTGTGGTATGATGTACTTTCAACACACACCTTCCAGAACAAAGCAGCCCAAATGATCCTGAAATGGTATGAAAATACCAGCTGAGCTACATTAGGCTGAGTGCACACTCCTCGTATAAAGTGCGTATTCCAATGAAAGTTTTTAACTAACGCTAAATTTTCTGCTATTTATTTATTATACTCAGATACGTATGATAGATAAAGGGATACTGTTCCCTTCAACCCAATCGCCGCAGTTTGACAGTGTTTTACAAAACCGTAAGTTTACTGACACTTCTACCATAGTAGAAAGGAGCATGTGTCTTGAAATTGACACTGTACATATAATAACTCCATTTACACAAACAACATTGACACCGGCTATATGTATTTACTACACACATTGCTTTTTAAATCGCCTTTCAATACACCGGGGCACTGGAGCCCGGCACGCGAGCCAGACACGCACCACGCACACATTTATACACTGCTAACCGCCTTACTGCCGAGAACTCGCGACAGGTACCCATGTGCACAAAGAATAAAAACACATAACAGACAAATCAACATTTGTATTCACCATCAAACTATGCTTGAAATGATGAGATGCGGTATGTGGTTGTTCCCCATCGTCTAACTTCTTCATTCTCAGGAAGACACTTACAACAACCATCCTTAGTCTCAAAAACCAACAGACGGCTGTCCAAAAGCAGACGAACTTTTTTCTTATTCGCATCTAACCCGTTGAAGCGGGGGAACCGCTAGCAGACGACTAACGGGAAACCGCTAGCAGACGACGAGCACCTGTCTCAACACCTTCACTCTGCTTGTATCAATACCATTCTTTGTCCCCTTTGTTACCACATCTTTAGGGAGGTTGCAACGGTCTAACGCACTTTCAAGTACCCCCCTCCACTCGCTCACGCTTCATCGCTTTCCTTTGAAATTTGGGGGGTAAATGCTATTGTTGTCATGAACTACTAAGTTTTCCTCTACTAGTGTCCAAGAGTCGGGCCGGGCCAAGACGGGCAAACGTCATTGGCTAATTACTCCATTATCGACGACCATACCTACATATTATTGATGCAACAGACATACATGACATTTATGAACATCCACACACAAAAAACGAACAGCATAATGAAGTAATTGCCAGTAAATCGCTTGAACATAATAAAGTCGAGCTGTGTGTAAGCAGGGCTGGCTTATGTTACAATCGTTAAACGAAATAGGATTTGAAACGTATCAAAAACTACCAACTATCGTGATACAAGTTTCCATCTGTTGGCGAAGCGTTTACATGTATAGAATAGAACTATATGTCAATAAACACCACTTCAAAATGATGTTCATCGTATTCAAAGCAGAAACGTTGGTTAATTTGAAGGTATTTTCCCCATACTCTCAACTCTCAAGTGTTCGGTCCGACTAAACCCGGTGTGTCCAAATCAACTTATACCTTACAAATCACGATATGAGCGACACTCACGTTTTCGGTCACCAGAATGCATTACGTCATAAAAAATATTGCAATATCTCATGATACCTGACGTGAACAATACAAATCAATATTTTAACCGATAGACAAGCAGCTACATCATAATGTCGTCATTAAGTTTCTTCACGTCAGGTTTTTATATGAAGGGATTTGGGACATTTTCAACTAATTCAAACAATCGGTCGTCTGAAATCCTGAAGGAAAAGGGTAAATATTCACATGGACGACCCGGTACAATTCAATCCACAATTGAATGAATTCTGCCAGTGCTGAACAAAGTATGAAAATAACATGAATGAGTAATTGGATGCCGCAGACACGTGTAGATATAAATGATCATATCATACATTTCAAGTTGTATAATGCCCTTTTGTCAAGGACACCGCCTCCTTGGTAGAGCGCCCGCCCCGAGAGCGGAAGGTCCGGGTTTCGATCCTCGACCGCTTCATACCAAAAGACGTTAAAATATGGTACTTGTTGTTACCCTGTCTGACGCTCGGCATTAAGGGGCTAAAACAAGGACTGGTTGGCTCGGAATCAGTGTACTGTGTCTGAGTAAGGTATTCATGTTAAACTGCGGCATGGTGTCTCAGTGAGCTAGCACTATAAATCGGCATCACACACACACACACACACACACACACACACACACACACACGTACATGCACGTCGCTATATAAGTACAATAATCTTGGACGCGACGTTAAACCCCATTTCACCTCACCTTTTGTCAAGGAGACAAAAATGTTAATCACTTAATATACATACATATACACAATAAATCTGTTTATTAATTACTTAACCCTAAACGTCTCCAGACACTAAACACTATACACATGTACAACACACTTAACACCATACACAACCCACTTAACACCATACACAACACACTAATTGGTTCTCATAATGGACTCTAACTTCCGCAAATACTTTTCTATAATAATGGAAAGGTTTTTTTCAACTTTTTTTGACTGCTCTTTGAACAATAATTCAGCAGTATAACTGCTTATCAGCTTAATGTCTGAGAATGGGCCCTGTTTGTAACTTATAGTAATTTTAATATTGAAATATACATACCTTCACACGATAGTGGCTCAAATTACAACATGCGCTTCAACATCCACTAGCATTCCTTTGTTTCAGGATATTTGGTACAGCATTTAAACCATTTCACAAAAATTGAACTTGTAAATACTCAGTTTCATTGTATTCCCGACATATGACAACACTTCCGCCCACCAAATATCGCCTCAGGTGCAATATGTGTGCAGTCATACAAAGACTTGCACAATACAAATGTTATACTGCATTAACTATCGATATTGCAACATATGGTGACCACCTAGCTCAGAAAGTCGTTATGTACACAATATACTTAGCTGTGTGAGAGCGTTTATGCATGAGCAGCCTGTGTCAGTGTACAGCCCCGCCTCTTAGAATACCGAGACAGACAGTCAGTCCAGCAGAATGGCTGGAGGAGACATCTGACGAAGCTAAAGGTATTTTGTTGATGACTGAGCAAGTATGTTGTCTGGTGCTACATCATAGTGAAGTGGTGTTTTCTTTGTTTCTGTGTCGAGGTATAATTTCTGTTTGTTGTATTGTACGTGGTCTTCCTATTGGACAGCATTTTCTGACATTACTAGTAGTGACACAGGACTGAAACTGGATCATCAGGTTCATGGTTACAGCTCTTCTTAACATGTATCAATCAATACTTCAATTACAAACATCTGACAGTCTTGCAAACCGTGACAGGTGCCTTTCATTGACAATATCTAGATACATATATTATTCTCATGACATTATCTCAATAATCATTGGTCACGTTCATGTTTTCATAGCAACTGAGACTGTCTCCATGGTCTAGTGGATAGAGTGCCTGGCCAGACAGCAGAAGGTCTGTGGTCTGATCCCCTGCCACATCATAAACAAGTCTGACCCTTGGCATTAAGGAGTTAAGACAAGAACTGGTCGGCTTGGAGTCAGTATATTGTGTCGGAGTGTGGTATTCATGTTAAGGGGGCACGGGTGGCCCAGACGTCTAAGGCGCGGTGATTCGCTGTGCACAGTTGCGTCCCTTGGGCACGTCGGAAACCTATGATTGTGGGTTCGAATCCCGGTTCGCCCTGATTATGTTTCTAGGATTGTCAGAACCATACCCATGCTCATGGGTTTTACCGAAGTGGTAAACGTCTGAGAACTGCATCACTTCGGGCATTCCTCCCACATCAAGCTGACACGCCTCATATAACTGGAATACTGTTAAAAGCAGCATTACACCCAATTCACTCACTCACTTTTCATGTTAAAATGCGGTATGGTGTCTCAATGCATAGTGGGCTAGCAACATGAAACCGGCATTAAGTACAAGCAACCACATACATAAACACACATACAGAAACACATTCACATCTAGTCTCTCTCTCTATCTTACACACACACACACACACACACACACACACACACACACACACACACACACACACACACACACTTTACACATGCATCCAATAAACACACAGACACACACGTGCACCTTAAGGGATTCGCGCAATAACGCTATAACGCAATAACGCGTTCCAAAACATAATTTTGTCTTTGTATTGTGGAGTGATTATTTGGGAACTGTGAAATGACACTGAGCTATTTTCAAGCATTAATATTTTCATCCACAAAACTGTAACTCACGAACTGAGCTCTCACTTACTGACCGCTTTTATATGTTGTTCAACATTGTTGTCATTGATAGGCATTGGAACATGAACATGTGTCGGAGGCACATAACAAACTACTTCATGATTTTAAAGATCGTTGTATCATATCTACTCTCTGTGAGTACATTATTGATAAAACTGCCCGTATATCAATCAAAAAAAAAATTGGTTCTTATGGATGAAAAGGTGTATGACGTTAAGTTGAGAATGCTAATATTTTTATTTTAACATTTTAGATGGCAGTGCACCGACAATTGACAGACAACTTCTTGACGTGCAGCATCTGCATGGACGTCTTTGATGACCCCTGTACACTTGTGTGTTATCACACATTTTGTCGGAAATGTGTCGTTAGCTACACTGAAACCAGACCAGAAGCCATCAGTGTCAAGTCTCTCCTCTGTCCATTCTGTCGGAAGATGACCAAAGTAGCCGACTCAAACAGGCCAGTTGAAGAGTGGGCACAGGAGGTGAAACCCAGCTTTTTGATTCAGGGTCTCTTGGATTCATTTAATCCCAAGACAAAAGGTATTTCCGAATAGGCTACCAGTGTTGAACTCATCCTAACATAGCTACGTTCTTCATATCCCTGGTTTGTGAATTCCTCGTATGTACATTGAAAGGTTAAAGGTTATTTCTTAATATTGTAGTTCTATTGTTGAAAAATAACTGCTTACACATTTGTATGTATGCTTGCAGATACGCCGAAGTGCATCCTATGTAGTGATGAAGGAGCGGCACCTCCAGCCACTGCTTGGTGTGCTGACTGTGACATCTGTCTTTGTGAGGGATGCCAGCAGGCTCACAGACGTATTCCTGCCACTCGTCACCATGACGTATCTGACCTGTCCACAGAGGTCAAAATCAACCAAAGACGCAAACCATTCTGTAAGCAACATCCAGATCAAAGCATGCAGTTCTACTGCAAAGATTGTAAGAAACTGCAATGTCAATCCTGTTGCATCTTGTATCACAGAAAGTGTGAGGCAATTCTACCGTTTGAATCCGTTATGCCAGAACTGATCAGCTGTGTTACAGGAGTTAAGGAAAGACTAGCGTCTCATTTACAAGCAACAAAGAGTTTGCTTACAGATTTAGAAACCAAACGGACTGAGGTAATAAAGAACAGAATCACCGTTCAGTGTCAGATCCGATCTACAATCCAGAGAGTCACAGAAGCCATAAAGAAGAAGGAACGACAACTCCTGGACCAACTGGATGACGCCACTGAGAAACATATCGAGCGACTGAAAACTGAAATGAAGTCTGAAGAGATGGCCAAGCAGATGATAAGTCATCACTCTGTGATGATAGACAGAGCTCTGGAGTCTGGAAGTGAAATGGACATCTATGAGATGTACCTGTGGTGTGAGTCAGAGGAGTTTCCTACAGTATACGACCCAAATTCAGATATAAAATATGAACTGAGAGAGAAAGTATGTTTTAAGCATGATTGTGAAGAGATCTGTAACAATATACACGAGGTAAGCTTGGGTGAAATTAATACCATATATGAAGATGTGTTTGATTCTACATCGACATCAGTTCTGCACGACACAGTGGACATACAAACAGAAGATGAGACAAGTTTACCTCATGTTTATGACGTGGCAGTGTTCAATGAAGGCGGTACAGACACCATAGTTGTAACTGATAATAACAACAAGTGCGTCAAATCCTTCTACACACGCAATACTCAACCCTGTCAGAGTAAGCTCTCTGTTCAGAGCCCCCCTCGGCGGATTGCAAAACTTAATGCCCATCACATGGCTGTGACCCTTCCCGAGACAAGGGGGATAATACTAATTGAAGTGAAACCTGACCTTGTTCTTCAATCATACATTTCAACAAGGAAGAAGTACTTTGGTCTGACGGCCCTGACACCGACTACCCTGGCAGCAGGATCCGGGTCGCCTCCCTGTGTGGACATCCTGGACATGGCGGGGAATGTGTTGAGGACGCTGAATCGTGTCACAGATGGGGGAACCCTTGTATCAGATCCTTTATTCCTATCTACCACCAGTCAAGGTTACATCCTGGTGTCATGCAGTCATGCCCCAAGAAGTCATGTGCTATGTATGACACCAAACGGAGATGTTGTGTTTAATTATGTACCCACAGGACAACATCGAGCAATGAATCCATGTGGCATCACTGGAACAAACACAGGCGACATGCTTGTTGTTGACGACATGTCAAACAAAGTGGTTCATTTGAGTAGTTCAGGCACTTGGTTGAGAGACGTACTGACGTCAAGGGATGGCATCACTTTCCCTTATGGTCTGTACGTCACCAACCGCCACTGTGTGATGGTCTACAGGTTCATAACACGCACCAAACCAAGATGTACATGAAGGGTGGTCTCGGTGAATGAACGACTGAATGATTTTGTATAGATCTCCCTTTGAATAGTGTTTCAGTTATATATATAACGAGATTGAGAAACACAACCAGTGTGAAGTCAATGTAGGTGTGTTTACTCCTACTTCCGTGGTCCGAAAACTGACTGTGTTCGATCCTGATGATGAGGTAATGATAGATGCACAGGGGACGCAAGCGCATTGTTATGAAACAATATGTTTACGAACCAATAACTTTTTCTAAAGAAAAATTAAATCATATTGTTCACCTGTGTCCCCTTTTGTATTGACATGTGCATAAAAACTATTGTATTTACAGTGTTGTTTAATTTTGCCATTTATCGCTCGGTTGTTTTGACGTGATTCGATTACTTCCATTTCTTTTATAAGGGGATAAAACGAGGCTGACAGGTTGGACGGTAGGTTGATTAACGTCGCACTCCACTTTTCCAGCTACAAGACGCCGGTCTGCAGGTCAAGTGGGTGAGTGCGGCGATAAACAACAAACAAACAAACAAATCACTAATACCTCACGAATCTGTATCCAACGGAGTCAAACTGTCACGTCAAAATGAGAAAAGCTTCATTTCTTCATAACACCTTAATATATTAGTCACCTCTTGCTACTGTTTACTGTTTGTTGGTTGGTTGGACGGTAGGTTCATTAACGCCGCTCTCAACACTCTTCAAGCTACAAGACGGCGGTCTGAAGTTCCAGTGATTAACATGACCATTGATCGATTGGAATACGGTGACATGCATCAACCAAGTCAGCGACCCTGACCACCCTATCCCGTTTGTCAACTCTTACAAGCATGGGTTTCTGAAGATTCAAACACAGATCTTCCAGAAGGCGCGGGAGGGGTTGGCCGTAAAGGTGGGGTAGACGAGTAGTTAAAGCTTGGCTTGTCACGCCAGATGCTTGGGTCCTAGTGCCTGCATGGAAACAATGTATAAAGCCCATCTCTTACTCTGCCAAACATTCAAACAGTTGATGACGTCACTGTTGTTCCCGGCAA